CAAAGGCTCTGCACACTCCAACCCTCCCAGAACCCCACACTAACGAGCTTAGCTAGCAGTTTCCCATGGACTCCCAGTGCATATGTGTGGTCCTTCACAGGACTTTTGGGAACACACAGGCCTGCCAGAGACATCAGTGGATAAAGGAAGTCACCTGGCTCAGAGTGTGCTAGTGGGGAACTGACCGTGACTGGGGACGGATGACATAGGCATCTCCAGGAAGGCCACTGAGCTCGAGCCCAGCTTTCTCCAAGCCCCTTTGGTGGGCACCCTGGCACAGATATAGCACAGTACCTAAGAGCCCCAGCAGCTGCAGGCATCTTGCCCAAGGCTTCAGGGGGTAACATCCATGGTTGCTGACTGGGGTCTCCAAGTCCATACATGCATTAAGAGGAGAGTCTGGGAGTTAGTCGGGCCTTGGGGTGAAGCCACGGCAAGGAGAGGGTGCCACCCAGCACACGTGAGTACGTCCACAGAGAGCCTCACCTGAGACCCGCTGTTGCTCAATTACTTCCCAAGAACAGAGACAAAAGGGAACTTCCGGGGCGACCAAGGCCCCAGGGATTCCCCCCATTCTTAACTGAAGTCACTGAGGCAGAGCTCCCCCAACAGGCCCTATTGTCTGAAACTAAAAATAACAACAATGGTTACTGGCATCATTGGGAGCCTATCCAAGGGCCCGACAGGCAGCCAAGGGGCCACGCCGGCCACGGCACTGAGCAGAGGACCTGCACTTCAGGTATCCCAGCATGTTAGGAGTCTAGCCGGAGGTTGGCCCAGGGGGCAGCGAGCGTCAAGGTTCCCAAGCCCCTGACAAGGAAGAGGCCCTCCCAGCCAGGACTGAGCCTCTTGGTCATCGCACGTCCTCCAGCCGTCCCTTTCCTGCATGGACACAGCCTAAGCAGACCTGAAGAAAGCAACGCACTGTGGTGCTCGGATGAGGCAGGGCTGGATCTGGTCCACAGCCAGAGGTTGGAGGCCCCAGGCTGGGCTGGACTGGGCTGGGCTGATCTGCATGCAGCCAGTGAGGCCAGGGACAGCCAACCCAGACAGAGGAAGCAGGGGATCAGGCAACAGGGAGCTGTCCTGTACTAAACTGCAGTTAGGCCAGCCCAGGTCCACATGTTCTGGGCCGATCTGGACAAGTCTGAATTGGCCATACTAACAGGGGCTGGACAGAGCTGCACGGTCTGAGATGGGCGATATCAGGCTGGGCTGGGTTGGGCTGAGCTGGGCTGAGTTGGACTGGGCTGGGCTGGGCTAGGCTGAGCTGGGCTGAGGTGGACTGAGCTGGGCTGAGTTGGGCTGGGCTGAGTTGGACTAGACTGGACTGAGGTGGACTGAGCTGGGCTGAACTGGGCTGGGCTGGGCTGGGCTGGGCTGAACTGGGCTGGGCTGGGCTGGGATAAGCAGGGCTTAACTAGGCTGAGCTCGGTGGGACTAAATTGGGCTGGGCTGGCCTGAGCTGGACTGAACTTGGTTGAACTAGGCTGAGCTAGGCTGGGCTGAGCTGGACCAGCTGAGCTGGGCTGGGCTGGGCTGGGCTGGGCTGGGCTGGGCTGGGCTGAACTAGGCTAGGCTGGGCTGGACCAGACTGAGCTGGGATGGGATGAGCTGAGCTGGGTTGGACCGAGCTGAGCTGGGCAGGCTGGGCTGGGCTGGACTGGTCTGGGCTGGGCTGAGCTGGGCTGAATTGAGCTGGACTGGGTTGAGCTAGGCTGGACTAGGCTAAGGTTGGCTGGGCTAGGCTGAGCTGGGCTGGACTGAGCTGAGCTGGTTTGGGCTGAGCTGGACTGAGCTGGGCTGGACCAGTCTGAGCTAGGCTGAGATGGACCAGGCAGGGCTGAGCTGGGCTGGACTGAGCTGGGCTGATTGGAGCTAGACTGGCCTCTGCTGAGCTGGGCTAAGCTGGGATGAGATGGATGAACTGGGCTGGGCTGTGCTTAGCTGGGCTGGACCAGGCTGAGCTAGATTGAGCTGGGTTAGGCTGGGCTGAGCTGGGTTGGGCTGGGCTGAGCTGGGCTGCGTGGAGCAAACCTGGGCAGGGATCATCTGGGCTTAACTAGGATGAGCTGGGCTGGGATGAGCTGGGCTGGACTGGGCTGGGCTGGGCTGAGCTGACTGGGCTGGGATGAGCTGGACTGGGCTGGGCTGGGCTGAACTGGGCTGGGCTAGGTTGGGCTGGGCTGAGCTGGGTTGAGGTGAGCTGAGCTGGGATGGGCTGGGCTGAACTTGTCTGAACTAGGCTGAACTGGACTGGGCTGAACTGGGCCGAACTGGGTCGGGTTGAGCTGAGCTAGGCTGGGCTGGCCTGGGCTAGGCTGGGCTGGACTGAGCTGGGCTAAGCTGGGCTGGACCAGGCTGAGCTGGATTGAACTGGGCTGGGCTATGGTGAGCTGGGTTGGGCTGGGCTGAGTTGGGCTGGGTGGAACAGAGCTGGGCAGGGCTCGTGTGGGCTGGGCTGAGCTGGGCTGGGCTGAGCTGGGCTGGGCTGAGCTGGGTTGAACTGGGCTGGAATGGGCTGGGCTGGGCTGGAATGGGCTGGGCTGAGCTGAGCTGGGCTGGGCTGCACTGGGCTGGGGTGAGCTGGACTGGGCTGGGCTGGACTGGACTGGGCTGGGCTAGGCTGGGCTGGGCTGAGCTAGGCTGAGCTGGGCTGAGCTGGGATGTGCTGGGCTGAACTTGGCTGAACTAGGCTGAACTTGGTTGAATTAGGCTGAGCTGGGCTGAGCTGGGATGTGCTGGGCTGAACTTGGCTGAACTAGGCTGAACTTGGTTGAACTAGGCTGAACTGGGCTGGGCTGAACTGGGCCGAACTGGGTCAGGTTGAGCTGAGCTAGGCTGGGCTGGGCTGGGCTGGGTTGACTTGGGATAAGATGGGCTGGACTGAATTGAGCTGAGTTTGACTGAACTGGGCTTGACTGAGCTGGACTTGGCTGAGCTGGGCTGGGATGAGCAGGGCTTAACTAGGCTGAACTGTGCTGGGTTGAGCTAGTTTGAGCTAGATGGGTCTAAATTGGGCTGAGCTGATCTGGACTGAACTTGGCTGAACTAGGCTGAGCTAGGCTAAGCTGAGCTGGACTGGACTGGGCTGAGCTGGACTGAGTTGGGCTGGACCGGGCTGAGCCTGGGCTGGGCTAAACTAGGCTGAGCTGAATTGAGCTGGGCTGGGTTGAACTGGACTGAGCTGAGTTGGGCTGACTGGGCTGGACCAGACTGAGCTGGGCTGGGCTGGACTGAGCTGGACTAGGCTGGACTGGGCTGGACCAGGCTGAACTGGGCTGGATGGGGCTGGATGGCACTGAACTAAACTAGGCTGAGTTGGGCTGGACTTGGCTGAACTGAGCTGGGTTGGGCCAAGTTGGGCTGGGCTGGGCTGGGCTGACTGAGCTGGGTTGGGCTGGGCTTAGCTGGACTGGACTAAATTGGGCTGAGCAGGACTGAGCTGGGCTGAGCTGAGCTGGGCTGGGCTTACCTGGGCTGAAATGGGCTGAGTTGGGCCGAGCTGGGCTTAGTTGGGGCAAACTGCTCTTAGCTAAGCTTCACCAAACAGGACTTGGGCTTAGCTGAGCTTATCTTGGTTGAGCTTGGCCTAGGCTGAGCTGGGCTGAGCTGGGCTGGACTAAACTAGACTGAGCTGGGCTGAGCTGGACTGAACTGAGCTGGGTTGACTGCACTGAGCTGAGCTGGACTGAGCTGGACTGGACCAAACTGGACTGGGCTGGGCTGGACTGGGCTGAGCTGGGCTGGGCTGGGCTGGATCAGGCTGAGCTGAGTTGGGATGGACTGGGCTGGGCAGGGCCAAACTAAACTAGGCTGAGCAGAGCTGGGTTGGGCTGAGCTAGACTGGGTTGAGCTGGGCTGGGCTGGGCTTAGTTGGGCTGAGTTGGGCTGAGATGGCCTGAGTTGGGCTGAACTGTTCTTAGATAAACTTCACCAAACTGGACTTGGGTTAGCTGGGCTTAACTTGGTTGAGGTTGGCCTAGGCTGAGCTGGGTTGAGCTGGGCTGAGCTAAGTGGGCTGGGCTTAGTTGGGTTGACCTTGGCTAAGCTGGGCTGAGTTGGATGATGATTTTGGAGGACTGAATGGGATGTCCTAAGCTGACCTGGGTCTGTCTAGATTTCACCAGTCTGTCTTTATGGGCTGGGCTGAGCCAGGCTAGACAGGCTGTGGGGAGCCGGACTGTACAGGGTGGTTAGTCCTGGCTAGTCTTAGCTTGTGTGTTCCACTGATCTTTACTGTCCTGACACAAGGTCATCTCGACTGTGCTCCACTGCACCAGGTGTGCAGAGCTGGTCTGGGTACTGTGAAATTCTGGCGCCTAGAGCAGACTCCAAGACTGAACTGAGTTCAGCTCCAGGGCCAGGATGGGCCAGGGATCTGGGGTGCCAGGCCAGGGCGAGGGACCAGCATGCACAGACAGAATAACCTAGGGTGGGGATGCTATCCTGGGGAAGGACAGACGTGGCCTCTGGCAGGCCTTTGACCTCCATCCACTGGGCATCCAGGCCAAGTCTCCTCCCCTGTCCCAGAAGGTCAGTCAACAGTCAGACCTGCTGATCAGGTAAGGGCCAGGGTAAAGGGGAAACTGAGGCAGAATACCCAGGAGCCCAAGGAGTTGAGCCCTAGAGCTTCAGGGAGTAGGGGCCTGGGGGACACACAGACCACCACAGTGAGCCCCACAGAGACTGGGATGGGGGACAAGATGGACTGGTGATTCCTGGGGGCTCTGGACTCCTGGTGTCACCCTCTGCCCTGGGAGCCCATGCTGCAGCCCTGGGAGCTGAGGTTGAGGGTAGTCACTGAGCAACAGCTCGGGCCCATCAGGGCTTGTGGGGAAGGATGTGAGATCAGAGAAAAGGCCAGGACTAGCCGAAGCAACCTGGCCCCAGGGCTGCCGAGGGGTCCCCAGCCCCACTTTCACTGTGTCCGGCCACCCACCCAGACCCCCAGACCTGATGGGTGCCCGAAGTCAGTGCTGACTGGGCCCATCCTCCAGCCTCCATACAGGGTCCATCCGTCTTCCCCTTGACTACCTGCTGCAAACCCAACACCGCTGCCTCCATAATGCTGGGCTGCCTGGTCAAGGGCTACTTCCCAGAGCCAGTGACCGTGACCTGGGATGCAGGATCCCTCGACACAAATGCTGTGACCTTCCCGGCTGTCTCCGTCATGACCTCCGGCCTCTACACCACCAGCAGCCAGATGAATGTCTCGGGCGCGTGGGCCAAGCAGATGTTCACCTGCAGCGTGGCGCATGCCCCGTCCACAACCCAGGTCAACAAGACCTTCAGTGGTGAGAAAGGGCTGGGCTCCGTGCAACTGCAGCGAGAGAGACCACTTCCCGAGAGTGCCGGGCTGAGACAGGGGGAATGAGGGAGAGAGGGTGGGTGGGCTTAAAACATGGTGGTCGGGAGGATGGGACATGGGGCTCAGGAAGACCCAGCCACCCTTACAACCACCACCTTGGCCCCCAGCCTGTGCCATAAACTTCACCCCACCCACCGTGAAGCTCTACCACTTTTCCTGTGACCACCGCGGGACCTTCCAACCCAACATCGAGCTCTTGTGCCTCATCTCCAACTACACCCCAGGTGACATCAAGGTCACCTGGCTGGTGGATGGACAGAATACCACCACCGAGTACTGGTTCATGGGCCCACTCAAGCAGGAGGGCAACCTGTCCTCCACCCACAGCGAGCTCCATGTGTCCCAGGCCCAGTGGATGTCTCAACACACCTACACCTGCCAGGTCACCTACCAGGGCTACACCTTCAAGGACAGCACCCACAAGTGCACAGGTACGCCCCCACCACCCCGATACTCAATACAAGGGCCAGAGAGGAAGGGCAGGCAGGGCCTCACGCAACCCCTCCTGCACTTGGCAGAATCCGAGCCACGAGGCGTGACAGCCTACCTGATCCCACCTGGCCCCCTCGATCTGTTCGTCAATAAATCGCCCGTGATCACCTGTCTGGTGGTGGACTTGGCCAGCAAGAAGGACGTGAGCCTGACCTGGTCCCGGGAGACTGGGAGGTCGGTGAGCCCCGGTCCCCTGGTGCTCAAGGATCAGCTCAACGGGACCGTCACTCTCACATCCACCCTGCCAGTGGACACCCAGGCCTGGACTGACGGCGAGACCTACCACTGCACGGTGTCCCACCCCGACCTGCCCAAGGGCCTCGTGCGCTCCATCACAAAGACCCCAGGTGAGCTGTGGTGGGAGGACGGGCACGCAGCCCCGGGTGGCAGAGAGGCGCGAGCCTGGGCTGACCCCATGACCGTTCACAGGCCAGCGTGCCCCCCCGGACGTCCATGTGTTCCCACCTCCCGAGGTAGGGCAGAAGAGCGCCAACAAATGCACCCTCACCTGCCTGGTCCAGAACTTCTTCCCGGCGGAGGTCTCGGTGCAGTGGCTGCACAATGGGGTGCTGCTGCTCGACCACCAGCACAGCACCACACAGCCACAGCCCACCGGCGGCCCACACCCCACCTTCTTCGTCTTCAGCCGCCTGGAGGTGTCCCGGGCTGACTGGGAGCGCAACAACAAATATGTCTGCCGCGTGGTCCACGAGGCACTGCCCAACACTCGGATACGTGAGGCAGCAGTGTCTGAAAAACCCAGCAAATGATGTCCCCCTGCCTCATGCCCCTGGGCTCTGTCCAGCTGGGGTGGTGCAGAAGTGCAGCCCAGACCTTCCGTCCCTTTGTCATGACATCAGAGGCCAACCCAATAAACACTCAGTGCCTACTAGGAACCTGATGGTGCCCATTCTTGGGAGTGGGCAGGGCTATGGGAGGAAGTTGCCTGGGAGAAAGGCAGGAAGTGGGCAGGGCTGGAACCCGGCTGGTCCGTCTGCCTTTGCGCGGGGGTGCTCGTCAAACAGCACGTGCATGGGGAGGCTCAGCATAACACCTGGGCCTTCCCCACCACCCTACTGTGGGTCCTGCCCCTCCAAGGAACCCAAAGAGGCAGGGAGGCTGGGCAGAGGCCGCTCTGGACTCCCACAGGCTTGGACTCAAAGTCTTCGTGCAGGGTCAGCCCTCGAAGCACCATGGCCATGATTCCCAGGTCCTGGGGCCTGTGCTGTGGAACCCAGACCCTCTTCCCAAGGGATCCAAGCCAGGTGGCCACCCATGTGTGGTTTGGAGGACCCAGGACTGGCAGGAACAGAGCTAAGCCAGATGGGGGTGGGCAGCACAGCAGGGTCATGGGCAGCTAGCCACAGGGCGGGGCCATTCTCTGGGGAGTGGGGTGGGATCTCGAGAGGTGCTGAGTGGAGGTCACCAAGGTCAGGAGAGAAACTGAGAAGCACAGGGAAGAAAACTGCCAGGCCACATGGAGGGGGCAACACAGTCACCAAGGTGGGGGCTGGCATGAACCCCAGGGCCACCCACTAAGCAGACAGCCCATCAACCCACCCCCCAGCCAGCTTGGACATCCCACTGAGCCGAGTGGTGACACAGGAGCAAACAGCAGCCCTCAGGTCGGCCTCCACCTCCTCTGGAAGAAACCTGATGGGTCAGGAAGACAGGAGCCACAGTGGGCACAGGGCCACACCCATCCTTGGGGTAGAGAGGTAGCTTCCCTGGTTGGAGAGATCTGCTTACAAGGGTCTTCACAAAGTCGTATAAAAATGAAAGAGAATATGTGACAGGCATGACAAAATGCAGGATTCCCTCATATACAAAGAGTGCTCAGGAACCAATAAGAAGAAAGAAAGGTGAGCCAGGGACCCTTCACAGAAAGGAAAAACCCAGTGACCAGTAATGTGAAGGAAACATTTCAACCATGAGAAAGTGACTGTGAGAAGGGGGCACAGCCGGGTGGCCCTGCTTGCCCCTGGTTGAGGACACATGAATATTTAAGGTCACCTTCAGGGCCTGGTGGCCAATGCCCAGACCTTCGTGACCAAGAGTCCAAGCAAGCAATGGCCCCACAGAGAGCCTCACTCCATGCCAGGAGTCCCGCATACACAATTCAGAACAGAACCAAAGTGGAGCCAGCCTGCCCAGGTCCCACCAGGGCTCCTGCCCCAGGCCTCATTCTCTTGCTAGGGACCTCAGAGCAGCCAAGCACGTGAGGTGAAGGCGAGGCATGACAGCCCCCTACCAGGGTAGAAAACTCTGTGTTGGGCAGCACTGAGACCAGGCCAGAAATGCCAAGAACTGGTCTACGCAGACCAGAGGAGTAGGGGCTTTGAAGGACACAGCCAGGGCCACAGCCCTGCCCAGCTCTCCCCACCTACACCCTCGCCACACCAACACACACACACAGAGACACACAGAACCACACTCACCACACCACTCCCTCATCACACCAACACATGCGTAGATGCAAACTCATACCCTGACCACACCAGCACACACACACACACACACACACACTATCACATCAACACACACATAGATGCAACTCACACCCTCACCACACCAACAGACACACCCTTTCACACTAATGCATGCAGAGATACACACTCGTACCCTCACCACACCAACACACACACTCCCTCGTCATACCAACACACACACTTCCCGGCATATCTCCTGAGCTGGGAGCCCCTAGGGCACACTTCAGTGAATCCCTTTTCTCTGACATGTACTCCAGACCATGAGCCTCTCACAGACCCCAGAACAAGGACAACCAGGCTTGGCCCAGCGGACTCCGTGGGCTCAGGCACCCTCCCAGAGCATTCCAGCTCCTGCAGGCCTGAGAGGAAGGCGAGCAGGTTACCCTGCTGTAGCAGGGATGGAGCAGAGGTCCCAGGAGGGCACAGGACTGGACCGTGCCCAGGCGGCCAGGCTCCTGCACCAGGCCTGGAACACCAGCTGCCCTGCTGTCATCCCAGGAGCAACAGGACATTTACAGGATGCCTCCCCCACTTCCCCTCCTCTTTACTCTCTAACCCAACACAGCGGGTCAAATGGCGGCCCCCAAGAGACACATCCATGTCCCAACCCTGGAACATGCAAATGGTCTTTGCAGATATAATCTAGCGGAGGATCTCAAGATGAGGCCATCCTGGATCATCCCGGGCCTTAAATCCAGTGATGAGTGTCCTCATAGGAGAAAGAGGAGACAGAGAGGAGAGGGGCATGGGAGGGCAGAGGCCAATGGAAGCGATGACTGGACATCTTCATCCCCCAAAATCCACAGGTGAAAACCCCACTCCAGGTGGTGTGGAGGGGAGGACCTTGGGGGTGAGTGGGGACAAGGGCACAGCCTTCAACAGTGGGATCAGCGCCCTCAGAACAGGGACCCCGGAGAGCCACCCTGCCCCCTTCCCACCATGTGAGGGCATGGCCAGGAGACGGCCCCTTTACAAGCCAGGAAGCCGCCCTCCTGCCACCTGAGCTTCTGCCAACCTGACCTTGAACTTCCAGCTGTGAAAAGCATCTGATGGTCTGGCCGCCCAGTCTGTAGCATTCTCATGATGGCAGCCAGGCACAACCGACACGAGCCACAGGGTCTCCCGCTGGGGAAGGCTGCAGGCCATCCCAAGGTTCAGAGTAAGAGCTCCGGAGGTTCCCTGAGCCACCTCAAGTTCCCGCCCTCCTGGGCCAGGCCCTGCCGTGGCTCCCCAGCTTCCCCCAACAACCTCCCCGGGTTCCCTGCCCAGAGCTGGGTATTTCCCCCTTACCCCATATCCTCCAGGCTCTGCTGAAGTGGATTCTCCTCCAGGAAATACCCAGGTCTCTCCTCACAGGAAGAGCTGACTCCCACCCACTCCAGCACCCACCAGCCAGCCCCAGCGCCCGCCCCAGAGCAGCACAGACACAAGCAGGGCCCACAGCCTCCAGCGGGGATGAGAGGGATGCATCGATGGGAGGCATAGGACAAGGCAGAGGGCAGGATCCACTCAGGCAGCCTCCAAGGGAGTTGGCGAGCAGGCGGAGACCAATGGTAGGAATAACTGGGCAGGGAGCAGGGTGGGCAGTGGGTGATGCCTGCAGAAAAGGACCCTTGGCTGCCCAACCTGAGGGCCCCTGACAAGCAGGCAGGTGCAGCCCCTATGGCCCACCGTGGGCTTTGGCCTGGAGCCTGGTGGCTCCTGGCCTGGCCTAGGCAGGAAGGGTTCATTGTCTCCACCCTGATGCCCACCTATGGCCTCAGCGGGCCTCCCTCGCAGGGGTCCCCTCAGCCTCTGCCCTGCCCACCCTCAGTCCCCTCTACGGCCACCTGTGCCTCCCCACACACATCCCTGTCTCGGGGTCTCTGGGCCTCTGACCATGTCTATTTCAGGCCCTCCTTTCCTACAGGCCGACCCCCAGCCCAGCCCTGCGGCCAGCCCCATAGAGGCCCCACCATGGCCCGTGGAGTGACACAGCCCTGGCCACACACACCTGGCCCCACCACAGCCAGACCACAGGCCAGACATGACGTGGAGCGAGCAGCCACGTCTGGAGAGGCAGGAAGTGGGCGAGTGACCCCATCTGCCATCAGACATGTAGGCAAACCGTCCCTGGCTGCCCTCTCCCACATTCAACCTCGCCTCATCCCCGGACACGCGGCCAAAGCAGGACAGGTCTGCTGAGGACAGATGGCACAGAGACAGTGCCTGGCCCAGTCCTGGGCCCCCTCCCCAGGCTGCCCCCTGTGACAGGCAGACAGACGGTATGATGGCCCTGGGATAAGCTCCTGGGCATGGAGCCTGGCCCTTCAGCCCTGTGGACCCGCCAGCAGCCTCAGCAGGTGGGTCTCAATGCTCTTTGGCCTCTGGGTCTCCTCTGTATGGTGGGGGTGTCACAGCTGGACCTCAGCTCTGCTGGGAGCTAAAGAATGTAGACAAACACAAAGTCATCCAGAAGGGGCAGGGACACCACCACAAAGACGCAAGACAGGGACACACCGAACCATAGTGAGCTGAGCCAGGCAGGGCGGTCCTAAGTGGAATGGCCTGGATTCTCCTGGAGCACAATGAGAGGAGTCTTCTGTGCTGGGCTGGGCTGGACTGTGCTGTGCTAAACTGGGCTGGACTGGACTAGGCTGAGCTGAGCTGGGCTGGGCTGGTTGAGCTGCGCTAGGCTAAATTGGGATGAACTGGATTGATTTGGCATGAGCTGACCTGAATTAGCCTTGGCCAGGCTTGGCTTAGCTGGGCTGGGCTGGGCTAGGCTGGGCTGGGTCGGGCTGGGCTGGGCTGAGCTGTGCTGAGCTGCACCAAGCTGGGCTGAACCAGGCTGAGCTGGGCTGTGCTAGGCAGAGCTGGGCAGAGCTGGGCTGGGCTGGGCTGGAATGAACTAGGCTGAGCTGGGCTGGGCTGGGCCGAGCCGGGCTGGACTGAACTGACCTGAGCTGGGTTGAGCTGAAGTAGGCTGGGCTAAGTTGAGCTGGGCTGGACTGAGCTGGGCTGGGCTGAACTGAGTTGACCTGGCCTAGCCTGAGTCAAGTTGAGCTAGACTGGGCTGGGCTGGACTAAGCTGGGCTGGGCTGGGTTGGGCTGGACCAGGTTGGGCTGGGCAGAGCTGGGTTAGGCTGGCCGGGCTGGGCTGTGCTGGGCAGAGCTAGGCCAGGCAGAGCTGGGCTTGGTTGGGCTGGCCTGGGCTTAGTTGGGCTGGACTGAGATGGCCTGGCCTGACCTGAGTTGAGTTGAGCTGGATTGAGCTGGATTGGACTGAGCTGAACTGGACTGAGCTGGGTTGGATTGAGCTGAGCTTGGCTGGGCTGGGCTGCACTGAGTTGGGCAGGGCTAGGCTGGGCTGAGATGGCCTGGCCTGGCCTGAGTCGAGTTGAGTTGAGTTGGACTGGGCTGGGCTGGGCTGGGCTGGGCGGCCAGGTTGGGCTGAATTGGGCTGAGTTGGACTGGGCTGAACTGGGCTGGGCTAAACTGGGCTGGTCTGGACTGAGCGGGATTGAGCTGGGCTGAGCCAGACTGGGCTGGACTGAACTGGCCGGGGTTGAACTGGCCTAAGCTGGGCTGAGCTGAAGTAGTCTGGGCTAAATTGAGCTGGGCTGGGATGGGCTGGGCTGAGATGGCCTGGCCTGGCCTGGCCTGAGTTGAGTTGAGTTGAGCTGGACTGGGCTGGACTGAGCTGGACTGAGCTGAGTTGAGCTGGGCTGGACTGAGTAGAGCTGGGCTGGGCCAGGCTGGGCTGAGCTGAGCTGGGCTGAGCTGGGCTGGGTTGGGCTGAGCGGGACTGGGTTGGGCTGGGCTGAGCTGGACTGGGTTGGGCTGGACTGAGCTGGACTGAGCTGAGTTGAGCTGGGCTGTACTGAGTAGAGCTGGGCTGGGCCAGGTTGGGCTGAGCTGAGCTGGGCTGGGCTGAGCTGGGCTGGGTTGGGCTGGGCTGGGCTGAGCTGGGCTGGGTTGGGCTGGGCTGAGATGGCCTGGCCTGGCCTGGCCTGAGTTGAGTAGAATGGAGCTGCGCCGGGCTCGGCGGAGCTGGGCCGGACTGGGCTTAATTGGGCCTGGCCAGGCTGGGCTGGGCTGGGCTGAGTTGGCCTGGGCTGAGCTGGCCTGGGCTGAGCTGGCCTGAGCTGGGCTGAGCTAAAGTAGGCTGGGCTAAGTTGAGCTGGACTGGGCTGGGCTGAGCTGGGCCGGGCTGGGCTGAGCTGGGCCAGGCTGGGCTGAGCTGGGCCGGGCTGGGCTGGGCCGGGCCGGGCTAAGATGGCCTGGCCTACCCTGAGTTGAGTAGAGTTAAGCTGGGCTGGGCTGGGCCGAGCTGAGCTCGGCTAGGCCTGGCCGGGCTAGGCCGAGCTGAGCTTGGCTGGACCAGGCCAGGTTGGGCTGAATTTGGCTGGGCTGAGCTGGGCTGGGCTGAGCTGAGCTGGGCTAGACTGAGCTTGGCTGAGCTGAGCTGGACTGGGCTAGGCTGGACTGAGATGGCCTGGCCTGGCCTGAGTTGAGCTAGACTGGGCTGGTCTGGACTGAGAGGAGTTGGGCTGAGCTGTCCTGGGCTGGTCTGAACTGAACTGGGCTGAGCTGGGCTGGGCTGAGCTGGGCTGAGCTTAGCTTGGCTGGGTTGAGCTGGGCTGGGCTGAGTTGGACTGGTATGAGCTGGGACGGGTTGGGCTGAGTGTTGCTTGACTGGGCTGAGCCAGGCTGTACTGAGCTGGACCAGGCTGGGTTAGGTTGATCTTGGCTGGGCTGGGCCAAGCTGGACTGAATTAGTCTGGGCTGGGCTGAGCAGAGCCAGACCGGGCTGAATTGTGCTGGGCTGGGCTGAACTGGGCTGATCTTGGCTGGGCTGAGCTGGGCTGAGCTTAGCTTGGCTGGGTTAAGCTGGGCTGGGCTGGGCTGGGCTAAGCTGGGCTGGGCTGGGCTGAACTGAGCTGATCTGGGCTGGGCTGAGCTGGGCTAAGCTTAGCTTGGCTGGATTAAGCTGGGCTGGGCTGGGTTGGGCTGAGCTTTGCTTGACTGGGCTGAGCCAGGCTGGACTGAGCTGAACCAGGCTGAGCTGGGCTGAGCTTAGCTTGGCTGGGTTGAGCTGGGCTGGGCTGAGTTGGACTGGTCTGAGCTGGGCCGGGTTGGGCTGAGCGTTGCTTGACTGGGCTGAGCCAGGCTGTACTGAGCTGGACCAGGCTGGGCTAGGTTGATCTTGGCTGGGCTGGGCCAAGCTGGACTGAATTAGTCTGGGCTGGGCTGAGCAGGGCCAGACTGGGTTGAATTGGGCTGGGCTGGGCTGAACTGGGCTGATCTAGGCTGGGCTGAGCTGAGCTGAGCTGAGCTTGGCTGGGTTAAGCTGGGCTGGGCTGAGCTGGGCTGGGCTGGGCTGAGCTGGGCTGAGCTTAGCTTGGCTGGGTTAAGCTGGGCTGGGCTAGGCTAAGCTGGGCTGGGCTGGGCTGATCTGGGCTGGGCTGGGCTGATCTGGGCTGGGCTGAGCTGGGTTGAGTTTAGTTTGACTGGGTTAAACTGGGCTGGACTGGGCTAAGCTGGGCTGGGCTGGGCTGGGCTGAGCTGGGCTTAGCTTAGCTTGGCTGGGTTAAGCTGGGCTGGGCTGGGTTGGGCTGGTCTGAGCTGGGCCGGGTTGGGCTGAGCTTTGCTTGACTGGGCTGAGCCAGGCTGGACTGAATTAGGCTGGGTTGGGCTGATCAACCAGCCTGGGCTGAATTGGGCTGCATTGGGCTTGGCTGGGCTGGGCTGAACTAGGCTGGGCTAAGTTGGGCTGGGCTGGGCTGGGCTAAGCTGAGCTGAGCTGAGCTGGGCTGGGCTGGGCCAGGCTGCACTGAGCTGGCCTGGGCTGGGCTGAGCAGGGTCAGGCTGGGCTGAATTGGGCTGTGCTGGGCTGGGCTGAGCTGAGCTTGGCAGAGCTGGGCCGGGCTGAGACAGGCTGGGCTGGGCTGAAGTAGACTGGGCTAAGTTGAACTGGGCAGGACTGAGCTAGGTTGGGCTGGGCTGGGCTGGACTGAGATGACCTGGCCTGGCCTAAGTTGAGTTGAGCTGAACTGGGCTGGGCTGGACTGAGCTGGGCTGGGCTGGGCTGAGTTGGGTTGTTCTGAGCCAAGCTGGGCTGAATTGGGCTGGGCTAGGCCCAGTCAGGCTTGGCTGAGTGGGATTGGGCTTAGTTAGGCTGGGCTGAGCTGAAATAAGCTAACATGATCTTAGCTGAGTTAGAATGAACTGGCCTGAATTGGGCTAAACTGGGCTGGCTGGGCTGGGTCAAGTTGAGTTTCACTTAATTGGGCTGAACTGGGCTGAACTGGAATGAGCTGGGCTGATCTAGCCTGGCCTGATCTGGGCTGGACTAGCTGAGTTGTTTGCTGAGGATTAGGAGGCTGTGGGTTGAGTGTGAATCACCGGCAAAGCCTTAGCCTGGCTAGGCATTCCCTATGTGTCTTAGGGTGCTGATGGCCTATAGGCTGTGTGCACTCTCCGTTTTGTCTTCTTGTTTTTCCAGGTCATTGAAGGAATCCAGCATGTGGGAGTGGGCAGCAGGGCTGTGCAGGAGGCCAGGGCAGGAGCACTGCTTTGGGTCTGGGCCCCCTGGCCTTGAGAGCTCATAGGCCACAGGCATTGTTTGCGACTTGCTAGGGCAGGGGATGGTTCAGTGGAGTGGGAGGTGTTGGCCTGAGGTGCTGACAGAGGACAGGTGGTGTAGATACAGCTGAGCCACCCCGCCCCTCACAGGCAGAGCTAGAGGCCTGGCCACTGTGTCCTTACCCTGCCCCTTCCCCAGGGCCCTGGTAGGGTCCTCCCAAACCCTGAGGAGGGAGCTAGGCCCCTGCAGAGAGCCCTGTTAAGTGACTGCAGTTCAGCCTGGGGGCCTGGGAGAGGCTGTCTAGGGAACATGCTCAGAAACAGTGTGCCAAGACCAGTTGGCTGGTCCAGCCCCAGGCCCTGGTGCAGAGCTGTGTGACCATGGGGCCATCACTAGCCCTCTCTGTGCCAGATTCCTCCTAGATAAAGGAGAGGCAGTCAGGGTCTGTCCTCCTGGGATTGCCACGGGCAAGGCCATGTGAGGGCTGCATTCTCACAATGTGCCCTGTGTTCCAGTATCCCCAGCCAACCCCAATGTCTTCCCACTGAGTACCCGGAGTGTCTCACAGAGCACCCGGAGCACCCGCAGCGCCAAGTCAGAGGGGAACGTGGTCGTCGGCTGCCTGGTCCGGGGCTTCTTCCCCTCGGAGCCACTGAGTGTGAACTGGAGCCACAGCGGGGAGGGCACCACCGTCAGGAACTTCCCACCAGTCCAGACGGGGGGTCTGTACACCATGAGCAGCCTGCTGACCCTTCCGGCCACCCAGTGCCCAGAAGACACATCTCTGCAGTGCCACGTTCAGCACTACTCGCACGCTGCCCAGCATGTGCACGTGTCCTGCAAGTCCCAACCCCCAGGTCAGAGGGCAGGCTGCGGGTGGGGGCAGGGCACTCCATCCTGCCCTGACGTGATCCGGACCTGTGTCCCCCCAGGGAGCTACCTCCTCACTCCAACCAGAGTGAGTTGCAGGCTGAGTCCCTGGAGGTAGACAGGCCAGGAAGGGTGGGGCCTAGGGCTGGGGAGGGATGTGCTGACCTGCTCGGGCCTGTCTCCTACTCTAGTTCCTCCGTGTCCGCCATGTCCCTCATGTGACCGGCCCCAACTGTCGCTGCGCAAGCCGGCCCTCGAGGACTTGCTCCTGGGTGCAGAAGCAAACCTCACTTGCACACTAAGTGGCCTGAAAGACCCCAAGGACGCTGCCTTCACTTGGCAGCCCTCAGGAGGGAAGGATGCCATCCAGGGGGAACCCGTGCGTGATGCCTACGGCTGCTACAGCGTGTCCAGCGTCCTGCCCGGCTGTGCCGAGCCATGGAACAGTGGGGAAACCTTCACATGCACCGCCACTCACCCCGAGTCCAAGACCCCACAGATCGCCACCATCGCCAAGACCCAAGGTGGGCCAAGACCACCCTTGGGGCCCTACATAGCACTCTATTGTTTGCAAAGCACATCCCAGCCTCTTCCCTCCCCATCCTGGGCTTGGGGTCCCCCACCCCACTGTACAGAGGGAAACAGGCCAGCTGAGGGGGTCTTGACACGGCCCAGAGTGCCCGTCAGGGCCAAGGGGCTCTCTCCCCCACTTCCCAGACCCCTAACCTGGCATTCCTCCCACCAGGAGACAAATCCCAGCCCCAGGTCCACATTCTGCCACCGCCATCAGAGGAAATGGCCCTGAACGAGATGATATCGCTGACCTGCCTGGTGCGTGGCTTCAGCCCCAAGGAAGTGCTTATACGCTGGCAGTGCAATTCCGAGGAGCTGCCCCCTGAGAGCTATGTGACCTGGAGCCCCGTGCCCGAGTCCAGCACAGGCACCCCGACCTTTGCAGTGACCAGCGTGCTGCGCGTGCCAGCCAAGTCCTGGAAGAATGGGGACAACTTCAGCTGCATGGTGGGCCACGAGGCCCTGCCCCTGGCCTTCACGCAGAAGTCCATAGACCGCCTGACGGGTAAACCCTCCCACGTCAACGTGTCCGTGGTCCTGATGGAGGGAGATGGTGTCTGCTACTGAACCTCCCCGCCCACCCCCAGCCCTGAATAAACTCCATACTGGCCCGAAGCAGCCCCGTGCTTCCATACGGAGCCTGTCTGTCCATCCTGGGGTCTGCAGCACAGGGGGAGGGGCCGGGGGCCAGGAAGGAAGAGTATCCCCCTGCCCTGAGCCTCCGGGGGCCTCTGGTGCCTCCACAAGCCTTCCCACCTGGGGCATGAGGGTACGAGTGAGAGTGTATATGCGTGAATGAGTGTGAGCATGAATGCGTGTGAGTGTGAGCATGTGGCTGAGCTGCATGTGAAATCTGAGGTCGGCAAGGCAGGCACAGCCGGGAAGGGTTAGAGAGATGTGGGCACCACAGAGCCCCGGGTGAGCAGGTGGTGTACTCCCTTCTGCCTAAGAGGGTCACCTCTGGGTGCAACTGGGAGGGGTGGGAGAGTGTGAGAAGAACAGGCCAGCCAGGACAGAGGCTGGTGCCTCAGGGTAGTGTGGGAGGGAGGGCAAGGCCATGAGGGGCTGGACACCAGGGTCCACTGGGAGGATCCCCAGGCAGGCCCCATACCCTCAGTGGGTCAGGCTCAGGACAGCTCCATGGGCTCATGCAAAAAGGGGGACCACCCCAGTGGGTGCAGCAATCCCACCCCCACACCACACTGCCTTTATGTGTGCACACATGCACACACAATGCACACACATGCCCACATGCCCATACGCACACACACAGGCACATGCACACATGCTCATACACGCATGTGCCTATATGCACATATGCACGTGTGTATACACATGTGTGTGCATGTGCATACATGTACATACACTTGCACATATGCATGTGCAGCACACCCAAACCTGCAGGTGCAGAAAGTTCTGTGTAACCAAGACTCAACTCCAGGAAGGCAAGAGGAATCCCCCTTCCAAGTCCCCAGGAGTTTCCCAGGCCCGGCCCTGCTGCCCCAGACTCCACTGCTCCCACCCTGTGAACCAGCTATGCCTGACTCAGACACCAATTCCCCTCTCACAGATCCTTCCAGGTAGCCTGCTCCCTGCCCGGCCCCAGAGGCAAGTCTCATCCCTTCCTGAGTGAGAGTATGACCCAAACCCTAATAGGGAGGGCCATGGTTGGGGAGGGGTCAAAAGCAGGCCAGAGGGACAGCTCCTACCCAAGGTCCCTCTGCAGGCCTCTGGCTTCTGCTTGGGGTTCACAGGGCAGAAGGTGAACAGTCTGACAACCACTGTGGGCACACCTGGCACCAGAACTCCCACAAGGGGGCAGTGGGGCCCCTGTTCTTGCCTCAGACACCTTCCCATTCCCGAGGGACCCTGACCTTCCAGCTGCCTCCTTCTGCTCTCCAGGCCCAGGTGGGGTGGAAGCCCACACACACCCTGTCCACTGTCACCCCTCGGGGGTCCAGCCACTAAGGGTGACAAGGAGAGTCACAGATCACTTGGGGACATCCTGCCACAGAAGTGCTGCAGCCACACATGGCACTCAGGACCTGGCCTAAAGGACAGGCTTTCTAAGGAGAGGAGGAAGGAGGAAGGATCAATAGATGGGGGGCTGAACCAGCAGATGGAGAGCAGGCAGATAAGTGGATGGATCATAGGACACCCAATGAATCGATGGATGGTGGGTGGGTGGGCAGGATGGATGACAGCTTTATAGATGAATGGGTGAATATGTGGATGGTAGCTTTATAGCTGAGGGGTGGATGGATAGATTATAGCCTAATGGAAGGATGAATTGGGTAAATGGATGGAAAATAGCTTTATAGGTAAATGGGTAGATATATGGATGATAGTTTTATACGTGGATGAGTGGGTGAGTGAATGGGTGGATGATAACTTTTTGGGTAGACGGTTGGATGGATGGATGGATGAAGGATGGATAAAAAAATGGTTGAACGATTAGATGTATCAGCATGCAACAAGCAGGTCCAACTCCACACGGAGGCCCATGCCCTGAGACCCTGAGGGCCTGTGCTGGTACCCCTCACCTGGCCCTCCCTCATGACCCCTCAGCCACATTCTCTGGGAAGTCAAGAGGCCTCTGGTTTTGCCCAGTCAGCCCATGGCACACTGAACCCCAGACCCAAATCTCTGTCTTGACTCAGATCTCCTTTTAGAGTAGGTGTGTCTGGTCCTCTCTGACCCCAGGACCCAGACCAAGGCCAGTCCAAGAGTCTGGGCTTGGTGAGGGTTCACCAAAGATGTGGCTAGGGCTCAAGACCCAGAAGCCTTGGGCTCAAGCTTTCCGTGGAGCAGCAGATAGTGGCCATTCTGCCCTGCCAGTTCTCTCAATAAGGCACCCTGGGACCCTCAGAGCTAGGAGCCCTGGGGGCACCTCAAGAGCAGCAGGGCCCCTCCCTCACTTGGGCTCTGCCTCCTGACCCTCCCTGGGCAAGTCTCAGACCTAAGATGGGGAACCCACCACCACTGTCCCCAGACCCCATGGGGCATGGCCCCCACTCATGCAGGCCTGGGCCTGACAGGCCCTCAGTGTGTTGCAGATTGGCAAGAGCCGCTGCCTTGGGTGGTGCTGGACCTGCTGCAGGAGAACCTGGAGGAGGAGGCCCCAGGCGCCAGCCTGTGGCCCACCACCGTCACCTTCCTCACCCTCTTCCTGCTGAGCCTGTTCTACAGCACAGCGCTGACTGTGACCAGCGTCCGGGGCGCCTCTGGCAGCAGAGAAGGCCCCCAGTACTGATCAGGTGCCGACAGCGCAGAGGTGGGGGACCAGGAGGAAGAAGGGTGGGCTGAGGGGCTGAGGAGGCCGGCCCTGAGGGGAGCATCACTTGCTCCCACTGTGTGGAAGCCACTTTCCTGAGGGGATCCCTTCCCAGGCCCAGAGGACGCAGGTGGGCCTGGGGCCAGGGCTGAACTTCTCTTGGGTGCAAGACCCTCAGCATTCACCGAATCTCCCATGAGCTGGGCCAGGCCTGGGACAGAGGGCACCAGCAAGGGCACTGCTCCTCCCAGCCTTGACCCCTCCCGTCCCTGCAGGGAGGATGCATGAAGGACCTCTTGGAAAACCCAGCTCTGCACACCAGAACTCAGCCCTGAAACCACACCCCACCCCACTCAGATGCCTTGTTGCTGCAATAAAGTGATCCCAAGAAAACGTGCACAAACTCTCTTTTGAATTTATTTTTTATTTTAAGGATGTGGGGTACACTCCAGGGTTAGGTATACAGATGTTCATTATGCCGGTACCCTTGTTGATGAGGTGTGCCCCTCCCTCCCCTGGCCGTTTCGCTA